ATAGTTTTAGGTAACAATAAGATTTCCGAAACGAGAGTACACACTCCCGGTACCGGCAGCCTTGATTTTCTGCGTCTGTTGTTGTGGAGACAAATGCCTCAGTTTTCGATTACGTCATTGAATCCTGAGGGTTAGGGTGCACGGCCGCATGGTAAAGGGGTAAGGGGGCAAAAAGTTAAAGGGGGTAAAAGGGGCAAAAGTGGAGTTGAAGGCGATAAATCAATTCATAGTTCTGATGTGCAACGAAGACACCGGCCTAGTCTAATATTCTACACTGACCGTGGAAGTGCTCAGCCAGAATCACGCTTCTCAACAACACACATGTGTCGAAAGATTCTCCCGGATTTGTTTAGTGGGTAAATGACAACGATGATACCTCCCTTTGGCAAGTTTGTTGAGTTAATTTGAGGACACCAATCTTTTGACACCTAGACTAAATATACTTGAGTAACAAAACGAAACACACTAAATGTACATGTAATTCAATGGTGTCCACCATGCTCATGACCATGTCCTCCCTCCCCCTCCTCGCCACCAATCAACAACCCGCTCCCATTCATAACGACAGGCACCTCAATCAATACGTCAACTTCGGGAGGCGGATTCAGCACCAACCGCCCGCAGTGCTTTGCATGTCTCAGTGAATCGTACATCTCCTCCATCACCACGCCCGTATCCCGCATCCTCCAGTACTTTTGCCAGTAAAACAGACAGTGGGCAATGTGGTACCTCCTGGAAGCATAAAAATGAGGATTCTCCGTTCCTCCCAGGGCAGCTACCTGCTCGACGGTCATGGTTGCTTTCCCCTCGGGATCAGCATAGTACGTCCATTCGCCATCCGGGCCCGGGCCGGCGCGTTCAAACTCGGCTGTGAGTTCTGGGTCTCGACAGTAAGGCGGGAGCCAAGCTGAAGAGAGGGTGTCGTAGATGCAACCGAGTGAGATGGCTTCGCTTGGGTTGGCGCCGCAGAGGCAGGAGGTCAGGCCTTGCGGGAGGGTGGAGGGTCTGTAGACGTCTAGCGAGGTTGGTGATGATCCTGAGGGTGTTGAGGATGGGTCTGGAAAGACGGTTTGGATGATTCCGAAGGAGAGCGAGATGAAACCCCAGATTGCAAAGACGTAGATTATTGGGTGGAAGAGAGAGGATAAGGTGTGCTGGTTTTTGTCATTGCTGTCTGTTCGTGGCTTTAATGAGAGCGAATCTAGCTCTGAGTCGTTGTCAGTGGTCTCTTCGCTGTTGGCTCGGTGTTGGTGGGCGAGAAAGGGGGTGCTTTGGGAGTCCATTGTCGTATCTTTGGAACTTGACACTGAGTATGAAGGCAACTGGAAAGCTGTTAAACTCCTACTTGAGATTCAGGAGATAGATGCTCGGGTTGAAAGTTTGACATTGAAGGCTGGGGAAAGAAGAGTCCCTGAGAGAGAGACAGGTAAAAAGACGTGCTTGGTCCCCAGCCTTACCTAGGTGTCTCGGCTTGGTAAGCATGCCCCTTCGCCTGTCAGGTCAAGGCAGAGATAGTACATGTGACATCGAAGTAAGCGTTCAAGTACATGTAAGCTTAGTAACTACTTTAGCTCGGTTGTACACCTGTATTCGGCAGGAGGTTTATGGAATGTGACGCATAAGGTTCCGGCGGCCGTTAAGTATGCACTTCACGTGTATCTTCGAGTATACGAAGTGTTTCTTTGGGACTTGCTATTGTCAGCATGGGTGGGACATGGGACAGTGCCGAGAGTGTAGTAGCTTCCCCGGATTCCGCACGGTTCGCAAACGATAGCTTGCAATTTAAGGTTAATTTGCCACATGAGCATGGGTTTGTACTATGGAGTCTTATGACGGCGACGTAGTTATTTCGGTTATTGATCTCAATATGTCAAATGAAGCGTCAAAGCCGAAGAAAAGCCCGCTTGAGACAGTTCCATGACTTCCGGGTGGCTTGCAATTACTCAGAGATGAATGTCTCACACTTGCGCAATAATTGATCGTAAAACGGACTCTGAGGGGTGATTAGATGTACAATAACGCCGATCACCGGCAATCACCAGTCATCTTGTGAGACTGAAGCTTAGGTATTATGAGCCAACCTGGAAGGATTACTGAACGGGGAGCCAAAACAACCTTCCTATTTTGGAAATATTACCTTTACGATTTACTCTTCTAACTTATATAAGCTTTCTAACCAAGTCAAATCGCGCGTATAGGTAGGTATCTTGTAAGAATATGGTTCAACCGAGGCTCATTTGTAAGTAGTAGTTGCCCCCATTTGCTAGCTATTACTGAATCTCGCCTTACACACTTTCATGTCTACTTTCCAAGAAAAATGGTCACCTTGGAGCCTGAGGCGCTTGGGGCTCTTACAGGTTGGAGACTGTATCATATCTAAAAGGATGTGAGACTTGAGGAGGGCAACATGAGGACGGAAAACTGAGAGTCACATCATGCCAGGCAAGCCTTAACAACTCGGGGGCACTGGAAGATGACACTAGTATCACAAATGTCATCATTGCCCTTGACAGCGCCCTGGGTTGTTTCACGTCTTCCGATTGTATACCGACATTCTCTTCGGCCCTTCAATCATCAACCTATGGAAACCAATGAAGTGTGTTCTTCTACCCGGAATGTACCATCAACCCTTGGAAACCAATAAGAAGCCAGAACCATAACGATACAACTGTTGATATGGCTCAGATGACCCGCCTATTTTGCCCCTGAGGTTTGCATCTCCGAAAGCCGGTAAGTCCACTCTCACCAGACCCATTCAATTCATGTTCCTCAACAGAAGTCTCGGCTTGATAACCAAGGCTGACAGCTGTTTCACACTGTGAGTGACCATTACCAATATCTCGAATCGAAACTTCAAGTACTTCCAGTCTGCGATCATCTCCAAATATGGAAGGTGCCAAAAGCCTCAGCGGCCGTCTGGGGGTGTCCCCACGGGGCCCGGGAGCAGGCAAGCGTCTGGCTTGCTCCTCACTCCACCGTCAGCTATACGCCGTATAGTCTTTCCACTGCGCAGAGAAATCAAGTATAAATGTTCCCATCGAACCACTTCAAACTCAACTCGAAACCACCAGCTCCAGTAGCAGCAGAAAATCAAGAACCCAGCAAACCAAACAAACTCTACAGCCACTCTCCAGTTCACCTGAGGAAAAAAAAAACATCCGTCAAAATGCGTCAATCCCTCGCCACCACCATTGCCCTACTCGCTATTGGAGCTATTGCTGCTCCCGCCCCGGGTAAGCCTTTTATCCTCCCACCTATCCTGCTTTTTCTCCGAGTCGTCAAACCCAACCATATCATATCCCCAACTCCAAACCTGCCATTTCACATTTTGTGTTTCCCACTTCCACACTCTATCCTCCCATGTCCAGAACCTCAGTTACACCTCATACTATACTTTTCCTTGCCTTGTCCCCCAATTCTGCCTCCCTATCACTCCACACCTCCCACTTCCCACTTCCCATTTTTCATTTCCCATTTGCCACTCATATTTCACCTTCCACTCCCCAATAACAATCACGGTTCAAATTTTTTTACTAACGAGCGGAAGTAGTCCCCTCAGTCCAAAAGACCGACGCCGCCCTCCCCCGCGCAGTTGGGGACGAGGCCTGGACTGCCAAGGTTGATGAGGCATGGACGGCCAAGCGTGCTGCGGGTGATGAGGCTTGGACTGCGAAGGTAGCCGACGAAGCTTGGACCGCCAAGCGTGCTGCTGCCGGTGCTGATGAAGCCTGGACCGCGAAGGTAGCCGACGAGGCATGGACTGCAAAGAAGAGAGCTGCTGGTGACGAGGCCTGGACAGCCAAGGTTGATGAGGCTTGGACCGCGAAGAACAAGAGAGGCTCGAATGATGAGGCATGGACTGCTAAGGTAGCCGACGAGGCTTGGACCGCTAAGCGCGGCAACGACGAAGCCTGGACTGCTAAAGTTGCAGACGAGGCATGGACTGCCAAGCGCGGCAATGATGAGGCATGGACTGCTAAGGTAGCCGACGAGGCTTGGACCGCCAAACGTGGCAACGATGAAGCTTGGACTGCGAAGGTTGACGAGGCCTGGACGGCCAAGCGTGCTGCGGGTGATGAAGCTTGGACGGCCCGGGCAAAGCGTGGAAATGATGAAGCCTGGACTGCCAAGGTTGCAGATGAGGCCTGGACTGCCAAGCGTGCTAACGATGAAGCTTGGACCGCAAAGGTAGCTGATGAAGCCTGGACTGCAAAGAAGAGAGCCGCCGGTGACGAGGCATGGACTGCCAAGGTCGCGGATGAGGCTTGGACGGCCAAGCGTGGAAATGATGAAGCATGGACTGCCAAGGTTGACGAGGCCTGGACTGCCAAGCGTGCCAACGATGAAGCTTGGACCGCAAAGGTTGCTGATGAAGCCTGGACTGCAAAGAAGAGAGCTGCCGGTGACGAGGCATGGACTGCCAAGGTCGCGGATGAGGCTTGGACGGCCAAGCGTGGCAATGATGAAGCCTGGACTGCGAAGGTAGCTGAGGCTTGGACTGCTTAAAGCAAATTATACAAGCATCTCCGAACCCAGTCACTACCGAGGATGATGTATGTTGATGGATTTTCATGTTCGCAACCTGAAAGGGCAATGGCTGGAGTGGAGGAAGCTGTCCGAGTCCTTCATTTCTTTTTCTGTACCACCTGTTAGTATCTTTTGTTGGTAACAGTTTAAAGCTACTACTGTACCTAAATCGAGATAGGCATCTGAAATCATGAACTTTCATGGTGGCCAACAAATTTGACTCCACACAGGCGAATTTAATGGATAATACCTCCATATAGCATTGACCCCTTGGCACTACAGTCTTAACCTCCAATGTGTACTACTAGGTAATCAGGCGGCTGAGTCAGCGCAACAGTTTGAGGACGGATGTGAGGACGGAAGGCGTCAGAAGCTCTGAGTGGAACCATCTCATCCATCAACCTTAAGAGTCAACCCACATACCTCTTTATACTTTCATACCAGACAAGCTTTCAACAATTCAAAGAAAAACAAGCTGCGTGGCGCAGTGGAAGCGCGCCGGGCTCATATCTTCCACAAGACGTAGAGACCCGGAGGGCCCTCGATCGAAACGAGGCGTAGCTATCTTTTTCTCTTTTTTTTCTCTTCATCCATCCTTTGTTTTCCAAGTTACTTGACACAAACTGTAAAGTATGCTTCCACATCCCACACATATCAAGTCGCTGCATACATACATGCACATGTGTGCCAAGACCTCGAGTAACCAACTTATAATTTTTAATTTTTTTGAGAAGGCACCTGGGCATTGCCTGGTCTTCCAAAGAACTGGGGAAAATTGACAGAGGAAAGAGCGGTTCCTCAGGAAGACTGCGGATTGTGAAGATTCCAGGCACCGAATATTCGGGGACGAGCCACCGTGGCCAGACAGTTGACATCAAAGAGATTTGGAAGTCCGTTGTGACGGCGACGAAGCATTTGAAGACATGGAGCTGATATGTGTCTGGGTGTTTGTTGAGCGCCGCGTCGGTCATGGCATACAGTACCTACATGTACCCAGCACTAGTGAGGGGCCTCAGATACAACAAAACCACCACTGCCCAGTATATGACGGTCCCAATTTGGGGGCTGGGCTTCGTCGTTGCTGTCTCCAGCAGCTTCATTACGGACCGATGTCCTCGGAACCGCGAATTGTTCATCAGCGGATCCCTCTTCCTCGCAATGATCTCTGCCATAATTACGTGTGTGGTATATGACTTCAAGGCTGGGTACGTGCTTATGTCGTTTATGGCTGGCGGGATATCGGGAGGACTGGCGCAGTGCAGTTCTCACGTGCCGCAGTAACTCAGGAGTTTGACCACCACAAACGTTCTGTTATACTTGGATTCATGCGAATCGGAACCGTCACTGGAAATATTTTCGGCTCATACTTGTTCCCGAATAGATAGTTGGGTGCAAGATGCACGCATTGAGAGCAAGCAAGGTGTGGGGGTTGTCCTTGTGAACGTGCTGACAGCTTCATTCAATTCCCAAAACCGCTTGGCATTTGCCAACTGGCCGCATGACCTGGCGCATGATGATGACGGCTGACGAGGCTTGGTTGACGGGCGGGTCATGCCGGACTGGCCAGTCAATCGGGAACAATCGGAGATCAGCAACGGCATTTGTTTCCATAAAAAGCGACATTTGCCAAATATGTTCATCTGTTTCATATCCAATGGATTTCGCGGGGCGCCCAGGTTCCAGAAGACCGTCTCTTTCTCTGCATCACGCCCGCAGAACATATGGTGGGGTAAATCCTCTTTTTAACCTGAGCCTGGGGTCGCAGTCTGCAGTGGTGACTTACCATTGATTGGGTATTGTCTTCTTGGCTTCGATGACGGGTCTCCTCGTTTGAGAATTAATTTGAGTTTATGCAGCAGCAGAGGGGAAAGAAAGAAAGGCACAAAGAGGAAAATGGGAGGGGCTGGGGGCAGACATGATGCATCAGCAACAACCACAACAAGAACACTGCAAAAAATGAGAGATTTAAAACCAAGGCAAAAGTAAACATCAGGTTAACTTGGTTGCATCAGCTTTCAACAGTGTTGACGTTCAAAGCGGGAACTCTGTTGACTCAAAAGGCAGATGATGCAGGTCACAACGTCGACTGCCCCACATCTGCCCGCATCTGGACGTGCACGGTTGCCATGGTGCCATTAGCGCATGCGACGGCAAGGGGAAAAGCAGAGTGCTGAACACAGTGCCAAGAAAAACATCCAGGTCCCCACAACCTTGCGGCGGAGGATCCAACCTTCCCTCCGACACCGACCACCGACCAGCGACATTCGACAATCCAGCGCAATCGCAAATCGACGACCGCCACCGACTACGACGACTCCAACAGCCGCGCAACATTCGGTAGGTAAAAGTTGATCGCGCGCTGCGAATTATACGCCAATCCAACACCCGACAGCGACCACAACAACGACGGCGGCACGGAGGATTGATCCCTTTTGCCACAACTCGAGACAACAGCCTCCCACCGCCGACGACAACACACCTCAAACACACCCCAGCCTCCTCCTCCTCCTCCCGTATCCTTCTCGCTATCCGCATCGCCGGAAGCTACCATCGGCCATGACCTGCCGCGCTTCTGCCTAGTAACGCTACGAGCCTTCCTGTCTCATTTCACGATAACGACACGCACGCACGACTCTATTCTTTTTTCATTTCCCTTTCGCCTTTCTGCGTTTAATCTCTTTCTGCGCCGCCAACTCGAGACATTCTTTACAGCTTGTTTACTTTTCCTTGAGTCAGAGTTACATGCGACAGCGCCTAAAATAACATAGCGACGTCCCAACCGAAAACAGCAATTTAAACAAGAATAAAAAAAAACATGTCGGAACCACCATCATCTCCCCCCACTGCTGGAACGACCGCCTCGGATGCCCTGGCCTGGTACAAGGCGCAATACGAACTGCTGGAGCAGGAGTTGTCGGAGTTTCAGGCATCGAGCAAGGAACTGGAGGCAGAGCTAGAGAAGGATTTGGATGCGGCAGACAAGCGGGAACGGGCGCTTCAGAAAAAGGCTGAAGCGCTGAGCTATGAGGTAGAGGAGTGGAAGGTATGATTTATCATGTCCTTACCCTTGCTTTTCTGACATATGCGGCCTTGCTGACTGCGGAAACAGAGGAAATACAAGGAGGCAAAAAGCGAAGCAAACCAAGCGCAGGGAACCCTCGAGAAAGAGATCACAAGTCTCCGGGATGCAAACAGAACCCTCCAACTCAAATTGCGTGATATTGAGGTTGCCAACGATGACTTCGAACGCCAGGCGCGCAATACCACCTCCTCTCTGGAAGATCTCGAATCCAAGTACAATGTCTCCATAGAACGGGGTGTTCTCATGGAGGAGGAGATCAGAGCTGGGGAGCAAGAGCGTGAGCAACTGCGAGTAGAGACACAAAGACTACGAGAGGAACTAGGAGATCTCAAGATTGAGGCCGAGATTCTGCAAGCCAAGATAAGGAAACAAGAGTCCCGCCATCTGTCGACCATATCCACCGACTTGTCGATTCCAGGGTCGCCGATCTTTGGAAATTCCCCACATTCTACCGCAAGCTCTCCGATGATTACAACACCGCCGGATACCAAGTCCTTGTCTACGGCTGATACTCTGTCCGAAGTTCAAGACCCACCATCACCTTCCATGTCCGACCTATCCACACTGTCTAGGCCAAAGCTCTCCCTTGTGAAGAGGCCCACCCTGGACAGAAAATCACGGCTTCCATCTGCCGATACCACCCCCAAGCCCAGGCAATTCCCCCCAGCAGGAACAGGTGTTCGCACTAACCGTTCGGTCACCATTGGTGCTGTGCGGTCGCCTGCCTCGCGGCCGTCGACAACGTCTAATAGGCCATCACCGGCTACGAACAACAGGCCATCACCAGTATCAAGCAGGCCCTCGACCGCGACGAACAAACCATCGCCGTCGTTGAGCAGATCGAACACTAATAAGAGCTCCCGCTCGACGACGACTACCTCCTCGAACAGAATCCTCCCCTCGAACTCGCTTACCCATATCCGCACACTTACTGCCCAAATGCAGCGTCTCGAAGCGCGCGTGCAATCTGCTCGTTCAAAGCTACCAGCTAACCCCACGAGCACCCCTCCACGAGCATCTCCCCGTGGTTCTGTCAGCATTGTTCCTTCTTCTGTCACCATTCGCAGTAGGAAACGCACAGTTGGGTCAACCGCATCTGTCTCAACAATAAGCTTAGGAGACGAATCTACACCCACTCACTCTTCTCGTCCGAGTATCTCAAATACCGTCAACTCGAGCAAACATGTCCCACGACTAAGCACATCCGGCGTCTCCCGCCTCTCTTTTGGCCCCTTACCGAACCGAAACCCAAATAGCGTGTCGACAATCTCGAATGCATCCACATCAGATTACCCCGAGATATCACGACCCAGCAGTCGAGCAAGTCTATCCAGCTACGCCTCTGCACGACCACCGAGCAGGACGGACTCACATCACACCAGCAATATGCCACCCCCACGACCTGTCAGTAGAGCTAGCTTGTCCAGTTTGACGGGAGTGCGGACGCCTTTGGGGAGACCAAAGAGCAGTCTCGGCATGCACGGACATCACCCTTCACAGTTTGGGCACACGTACAGTTCTAGCGTTAGTTACTCGACTGCGGAGTTGGATGAGTATGAGTCGTCGGTGGATACTGGAAGCAGCAGTAATAGGAGGTCACCCAGTAGAATTAGGAGGGGGACGTATAGTCGGGCGGAAAGTGATGTTTCGAGCACTGGAATACCGATGCCAAGTGGAATTCCAATGCCGGGAGGTGGGAATAGGAGGCAAAGCGGTGGGACGACGACGTCTTCATCAGTAGGCGGAAGAAGGGCAAGCGGGGCGAGCATGAGTGGATTTAGGATGAGCGGTGGACCAGGAGGAGGACCTAGAGAGTCGGGGATTCTTGTACCTGGTGGAGGGATGCATGGTGGGAGGGTATTGGAGGATATTTTGGGGGAGACTTATTGAAGAACTGATTATTCTCTTTTTTTAATGGGTCTCGCACGGTCTTTTTTTTCTTTCTTTTTATCACTGTGTGGAATGAGTGTGGGGCTGTGTATGGCAGGAGGGTTTTTCGTTCTTGCTTGTCGTTGTTTTGTTGGAACATTACTTAAACTTGATACCTTATTGGCTTTTTTTTATTTTATGTTTCATCTTTGTTGTTTTTACCTACCGAATTTTGCTTTTCAGCGCCCTACGCCTATATGGCAGAGATGAGGGGCGGGGGGGGATTTTTAAACATGGGGTTACAACACAAATTGGGACTCTTTTTTATATGGGAGGTTATGGAAAGGGCGGGGATGGGAATGGGTGGACGGGGCGGTTGTGCTTTTTAAACATGGAAAGAGGGTTGTTGCTCGAGGTGGTTTGCTGTGTTGGTCTGAGGGATAACGGGGCAGTCGTGCTGTGGGTACTTGTGTGTATGAGGGAGAGTAAACAGGGGTGTGATGTTTGTCGATGGGAGAGTTGGTTGTGAGAGTGAGAAGGAGAGAGAAGTTGATACAGATGAGAACGATATACCTTATACAAACTTTTATTATTTCTTTTGTTGAACCTTGGT